TTAAATTACGTACTTTTTCAGCAAAAACCTAACCTACACAATTCATTATTATAGTAGAATTATGGTTGCTAGCTCGTCATAGTGGGGGAACACAGAAAGGATAAAAATGTATGTTCCCACGTCATCTACACCCGGGAAAATTAAGTGTTGAGCAAAATGGTTCTGCACCCCTTGATCAGGAAACCCCACTAAACCAGTCTTTGTCACGTCCACTGTAGAAAACAACTTCCCAATAGTCTCAATCCTGATTTGAGTTCCTCGGTTACTAGCTAGTTGGCAGAGTGAGTGTGTATGGAATCTATATATGTATACGTACACATGCTCCAATGGCCCAGAAGAGCCACCATACTACGTACTCTGGTGTTCGACAATGGAAGGTGATTAAGAGGATGATTAATTTATGAACCCCTAATGATGCTTAATCAAATGTGAAGATCTTGCTATGATCTGTATTGACACTAGTAGAAAAACATGTTTGCGCGACGGAATCTTGCGCGACGCAACAAATTTTGTTGCGCAAAGTATGTTTGCGCGACCCTAAACACCAAACGTCGCGCAAAGGACGTTTGCGCGACGGTACTTTGCGCGACGAACGATAACGTTGCGTAAAGATGTTTTGCGCGACGCATAACTTTGTCTGTCGCGCAAACTACCTTTGCGCGACGTTTGGTGCGTCGCGCAAGATCTTGGCGCCAAATAAAGAAAGTTTCCCCCTTTTTTTACAACTTTGTGCGACGCACGTGCATGTACGTCGCGCAAAGACGTTTTACGCGACGCAAGTGAAACATCTTTGCGCGACGTACGTTCACTTGCGTCGCGTAAAACATCTTTGCGCGACGTACATGCACGTGCGTCGCGCAAAGTCAACGACTTTTTGTACTTCACTTATTCAGTTTGGGAGGCAGAAACTGCAAACTCAGTTGCAGCAGCTACCTCCATCCCCCATTTCTCTTCAAAACCTTCTCCAATCTGTCCCTTGCTCATAAATTCAACATATAAATATTTCATCTCTTTTCATCATGCAATCTATCCTTTGCTATTTGATGGTCTTTGATTTGGAGTAAGCAAATCTAATTTAGCTGTTGAGAATTGAAGTTTTGTTTTTTTTTCATAAACTTGAATTGAATACTTTTGATGGCTTATATATATGAAGGTTTCAATCATTTGTTTTGAATGTTTATTGTATAACGGTATAGAATCAGTTGAATTTTAATGAGAGAATGCTTGTTATTTGGATTGTGTTTAGTGGTTTATTGAACAATTTATTAGGATATGCATCTATATGCAATCTGCTTCAAAGTTGTTGACTTGCCTTCAGTCACTAGGAAATTTGTAAGTCTTGGGGTCGTCGTAGTTACAACAGAGACAAGATGTCTTCCCTATTAGTTTTTTTGTTTTCAGAAGACAATGGTAGTGGACATATGCAACGATAAGATATGCAGAGAAAAGAATGCTATAACATTAGGGTATATTTTTCATTTTTCTTTTGGTTCTACTGAGATCATTGGTATCCATGTTTCCTTCATTTTATTAGACAGTCCGGTTAAGGATATTCTTTTATGTAGACCAACTTGTTTATAATAACCAGATTTTACCACGGTAATATACATTTTAGTTTTTACAGTAAATTGGGTTTTCATTTTCGACTTTTATTGCCCATGTTAATTAGCACACTCTTACACTGCTCTGGTAATGTTCATCACAGGGACCCATGAATGCTTGTTATTTGTTACAGCTTTACACTACAATGATAAAAGAAAATTGTGGTAATGTTCATCACAGGGACCCATGAATGCTTGTTAATTAGCACACTCTTACATTTTAGTTTTTACAGTAAATTGGGTTTTCCTTTCCTTCATCTTGTTTCTGATAAAAGAAAATTGTAGTAAAGAATCGCATGTGTGTATGAAACTTCACAACAAAGCCTCTTTCCCCTAAAGTCTCGTCTCTTCTACCTTTTTAATCTTTTATGTATGAGTTTCATAGTTCTGCAACTGATGCTTGCTTTGTAAGAATTCATGTGATTTCATCCTTCATGAATTCATATATGTGAGTTCATCAAACTGCCGATTGCAGCTGAACTTGGTAAATGAGCTGTATATGGTTAGACTTCTTAAGGTTTTATATTCGAATGAAGTATAACATACTGGGGAGGAAAATGTGATTAAGCCATGTTTGAATTAATGAAGAACAGTTGGCTTAATAATAACTGAAGATAACTGCATTATTAATGGGATAAGGCAGTTATCATAAATAGAATGGGATTGGTCCCTCTTCTCGGTATAAATATGGATGATTCACAGTTAAGTAAGGTTGCCCCATTTGAAACCTAATACATCCATTGTAGTTGTACAAGAGAAGGGAAGATACATCCTAATACAGATCATGGTTTCAAGTTCGTTTGCATGCTTATTCATGTATATCAGTCCATGCATAGATTTGGTATAACTGGGTTCTGCCGCTCAAGCGGTGGTCTCTGCCGCTCAAGCTGTAGTATGACTGGGTTCTGCCGCTCAAGCGATAGTCTCTGCCGCTCAAGCTGTAGTATGACTGGGTTCTACCGCTCAAGCGGTAGTCTCTGCCGCTCAAGCTGTAGTATGACTGAGTTCTGCCGCTCAAGTTGAAGTATGACCGGGTTCTGCCGCTCAAGCGGTGGTCTCTGCCGCTCAAGCTGTAGTATGACTGAGTTCTGCCGCTCAAGCGATAGTCTCTGCCGCTCAAGCGGTTATCTATTGCAGTAAATCTTAGTGTTTATCAAATATGCCATTTGTGTTGATTTACATGTAGTTTAGTAACTTGATTGATTGGATCCTAAATTATATTATTTCTAATATGCCTATCCATGTTTCTGGTTTGTGATATTTTTTAGACCGCACATCATCAATTATGCACCATTCAGCCAAGTTTTGCATGACAAAAGCCCGAGCGTTTGAAGTAACACGGGAGATGGTAGAAGAAAAGAGAGAAAAACTACTTAGGTCAATCTGGAAGATGGAAAGACGATGGCATTCTGGCAAAAGCACTTCCTACCAGCAATATTTTCTCTGACGGATCGAGCCTGTAGTTCAACATGGAAGATAAATTGTAACTTTGTAGGTGGCGCTGCTGTTACTTGTATGCCATCTTTCGTCATACGATTTCATTTGTGGAGTTAGCAGAACTTGTTCCATTAGTTCTTTTCAATCTTCAGCATTATCCATTATTTATTCCAAATCAATAAATTTCAGTCTGTATATTCTCAGTAATCATTTCTCACTTCATATTATTTCGGCATTATGTATCTGCATCACTATATTCGCTGAATGCGGCTATTTTCCTTATAAAAACTTGATTACTAAACGCTGCAACGTAGCTTCAGGTTTTTAATATAATCTGTAACTGGAAAGATATGCAGGTTTTGCACAAACATACTTAAAGTAACCGTTAAATCGTGATTTTTCGTTTATATCCGTTGAAATGTTTTGTCCCATTACTTGATCTCTGAATGTTTTTTTTTACGATTTTTGGTGTATACGATCTCGAAGCATATACAAACAAGTTTGACGGTTGGATCGTTGAAACTAGTTTCGTACAATGCGTATCCCATCAAAACATTAGATTCACTAACACTTGAAGTTTATTTACACTTTCATCAAGTAAAACATAAGATTTTATGGTATCCACTTGTGTCAATGTTTCAAATTGACGATCGGATTGGTTGATTGTATTCATATAAGGTTAAAGAGCGTAGCTGTAAAAAATCATCAAGATCGGAGTTAAAATAACCGTTAAATCATGATTTTTCGTTTATATCCGTTGAAATGTTTTGTCCCATTACTTGATCTCTGAATGTTTTTTTTTACGATTTTTGGCGTATACGATCTCGAAGCATATACAAACAAGTTTGACGGTTGGATCGTTGAAACTAGTTTCGTACAATGCGTATCCCATCAAAACATTAGATTCACTAACACTTGAAGTTTATTTACACTTTCATTAAGTATAACATAAGATTTTATGGTATCCACTTGTGTCAATATTTCAAATTGACGATCGGATTGGTTGATTGTATTCATATAAGGTTAAAGAGCGTAGCTGTAAAAAATCATCAAGATTGGAGTTAAAATAACCGTTAAATCGTGATTTTTCGTTTATATCCGTTGAAATGTTTTGTCCCATTACTTGATATATGAATGTTTTTTTTTTACGATTTTTGGTGTATACGATCTCGAAGCATATACAAACAAGTTTGACGGTTGGATCGTTGAAACTAGTTTCGTACAATGCGTATCCCATCAAAACATTAGATTCACTAACACTTGAAGTTTATTTACACTTTCATTAAGTATAACATAAGATTTTATGGTATCTACTTGTGTCAATGTTTCAAATTGACGATCAGATTGGTTGATTGTATTCATATAAGGTTAAAGAGCGTGGCTGTAAAAATTCATCAAAATCGGAGTTAAATTAACCGTTAAATCGTGATTTTTCTTTTATATCCGTTGAAATATTTTGTCCCGTTACTTAATCTCTGAATGTTTGTTTTTTTGCAATTTTTTGTGTATGCGATCTCGAAGCATATACAGACAAGTTTGACGGTTGGATCATTGAAACTAGTTTCGTACAATGCGTATCCCTTCAAGTTCAATGGTATATATAGTTACAAAGTAGATTTTAATTTATTTATTTTGTACTTATAACACTTATGAAATTGAATGATATATATATAGAAAAAATTATTGTGGGTTTTTGTTAGCAAAATATATTTTTGTGGGGTTTATTTAAAAAAAATAGTTTTGAAAGAAGGAAAATCACATTTTCAGTAATTTTTATAATAATTTTGTTTTTTGAAAAAATACTTTGCGCGACCCCTTTATGTGTACGTCGCGCAAAATCACTTTGCGCGACGTCAAATTGTATAACTACGTCGCGCTAGTTGTGATAAATTTGGCGGTCCAACAGTGAAATATGGGCGCTTTTTTTTCAATTTTCCAACTTTTGACAAAATAATTGAACCATCCCTCCCAAGAACTTGTCCTTCCCAGTATTGGAGTTATTAAAAAAAGCTGAACCTTCAAGCTCTTTTTTTAATTTTCCCCGTAGACCCAGATCTTGAACCCTCCCTCCCAAATCTTGAACCCTCCCTTTTTTTTTCCCCTTACACCCCAAATCCCCCTCTCTTTCTTTCCCTATTTCTTTCCCCGTTGACCCCAAATCCTGTCTTTCCTCTTGGGTTGTCGAACCCAGACCTTGAACCCAAGCCGCCACGGGAATCTCGAAGCCGACGCGAATCAAGTCCCAAAATCAAGGTAAGGGTTTCTTCCCATCCTGTTTTCAATGTTTCTATTTTCCCTTGTATACTGGGGTACATATGGTTTTCGATAATCCATTTGCTGTCGTTTGAAGTGTAAGTTTTATGTTTTTACTTGTTTTATTCACTGGCCTTTTATCGAAATTTACATCAATTTTTGACTTTAATACCTATTATTTGGCATTTTGGAAGTTGGCTGGGAAGCTAATTCATAACCTCTGTGTTCTAAAGTTTATTGGCAGAGATTTGATGCTTCATCCAATCAACTTCACTTTATTTCTCATAACCGAGTATTGTCCGGGAAAGATCTAACAATCTAATGGTCTTGTGGTTCCTTGTATGTTGGAAATATATTGACAGTCCCCTCAGGTCTAGCGTAGAATTTTCCCCCGTCTAGCCATTGTGTTTTCAATGGGATTGGTCAAGTAGACGTGAATCCTTTCTTTCTGTTTCTTTTCAGTGTCCCCCTTAATCTCAATTAATTAATGCAGAAGTTCAGCAGTTATTCTGCCATGTTTGGAGTGAATTCTCTGATTTTCTCTTTTATATTTAAAGTGAGCATTTTCTCTCTTTTCATTGTAGATATGTAAATGATGGGAGACCCTTCTGGCAATATATAGTCAGTTCTTCCACTGGTTGTTCTGATTCTCAGTACTTTGAAGAACTTTATAACTACTATACGACTGACAAGGTTGGGTGATTTTTAAGTACCATTTTCTGTATAGGTATAGCAATATAGAGGTATGAAGTGGGTTATAATATTTTTCTTTGTTTTCTCATAGGCTTGGCATCTCTGTGATCCTGATGCTGAGAAGGTGTTTGAAGCTCTGAGGAAAGCAGGTGTTAAAGTAGGTGTTGTATCAAATTTTGATACCCGATTAAGGCCTCTTTTACACGCTCTACATTGTGAACATTGGTTTGATGCAGTAGCAGTGTCAGCCGAAGTAAGTGAATTGCTTAGAAAATTTCCTTAAGCAGACAATATGACCGAGAGAGGATACAGTAGTTGAAAACAGACAATATGTCCTATGATCTTGAGTAGTACGAGTGTTGCAAAAGTTGGTGAAACAATTTAGGAAAATCCGAGGCTTTAAGTTTGCATGCGGATAGAGGTGGTTTTGTATGCTTATTTGAAGACCAAATATAAATAATATGTATGTTTATTGTGACTCCCACTGCAAGTAATTTAAGATAAAGACCGGTAATATATATAAGCAAAGAGTTCCTTTTTTCCCTTGGTGTATGGTTGAACTTCCTTTTCGTTCGCTGTAGTTTGTTTAATGTTTTGACTCCGTCTTTGTGCTTTCAATTTGAACAATGATACGAAATATCGCTAGGCGTGGTTTACTAAAACATCATATTTTATTTACAGGATAAGTCTTTCATATATCTAGCCGGCCTACTACAGGTAAAATGTGTGCAATCAAAGCATTCCATCTAACCATAGATGTTGAAGAACTATAGTTGTTTACTTTCCCCAGGCACTAAATTCTAAATGTTGTTCTCTCTTTCAGTTTTATTTTATTATTCTTTTTTATTTTCATGTTATTTCTTTTTCAAGTATTGCATTGAAAGGGTTTACCTTTCCTACTTAACACTCTCCAATTATAATGCGGAACAAGAAGATTCATTTCATTCCTACTTATAGATGTCGAAGTTGATTACTCGTCGTCGGAGTGTGATCAATGCGCCTCCCACATTATCAGCATCTACTGCTCCAGCCGTGAGTGCTCCATTAATTGGGGAGCCTACACCCAATGTTGAGGCTACTTCTACGGCGTCCCAAGTGCCCGTCTCATCGACGTCATCAGTGTCCGTTGAGTCGCTCAGTGCACGGCGGCCTCACCGACGCTGCCGTGACCCAGAGCCTTCTGATCAGACTTCCTCGGCATCCAGAGTTGAGGGTGAGGCCTCCCAGCCACCGGGTAGTTTTTTCTAATTCTCACTACGTTGTATTTTTTTTTCATTTTAAAACTATTATTTTTATGATGATGAAAATTTGCTGGATTGTGAAAATGTGTTACGGGTTGTGAATTACTATTATTTTACTGTTTTAATGTTTTGGGAAATGTTATACTACTAGGGGAGGTTGTGTCGAATTTTTTGTACAAATTTAAGCTTAGGGTTTTCACCATTTAAGTATTTTTGGCCAGCTAAAAAAAACACCAGGGGGCCTAGTCGAATGCTGAAGGAGTTACAGGGCGTACGTCAAAACAACTCCAAGATCAAGATTGTGTATGACCCACAACATTGTGGAGCGGCTACCACCAAACAGCAGCATAGCGGCGTTGCTAGTAGCTGTGGTGTTGTTATTCGAGATAATTGTCCTTTTCAGCGAGAGTCTTGGGCAAAAATTCCTGAGGAGACGAAGATATTGGTGCGACACAAGTTGTCGGTTAGTATATTAATTTTTAGCCTTTTATCATTTTTTTAATTTCGTTTACAAATATTAAAAACCAAAATATATTATCTTAATATTATTACATTTGTTACTATTATTTTATTCTTTTTCATATTCGTAGTGCGTTTATGATCTTGAGGATGTATCCCCTGAGGTCATGGTCTACTTAGAGGAGACCTTAGCAACCCGGTACAAACAATGGAAGAACAATTTTCACAAGCATTTTAAGCGATGGGATGATGATCCGGAGATTGCTCGCCTACATGTTCCAGATGAGTTGAAGGACCGACCAGAGGATTGGGAGTGGCTCTGCAAACATTTTACGGACCCAAAATTTGTGGTATGTATATAATATTTTAATAATAATTTATTATTGTAAATGTTATTTTTTAAGCATTTTTTATTAATTTATTTCAAATAGTCGCACTAACATGTATATTGTGTGTTTAACAGAAGAAATCTATTGCTGGCCAGAAAGCTCGGGAGTCAAAGACACTTCTCCACCATTCTGGTTCGCAGCCCTTTTCGTATAGGCTTGAGGCACGACGTGAGGTAAAAGTATATTAACTTTGAAATTTTATACAATTTAATTTTTATTATTGATTAATAAAATTTCCTTAATGTTTTTTTCTTTAGGAGGGTTCTAAGTTCCCAGAGATCGACATGTTCAAGGACGTTTACGTTCGACCTGGTAATGAGACCACTAAGCAGCTTCATGTAAGTATATGTTATTATTCTTATATGTATGAATCGTTCAAATATTATTTATATTTTGGTATTAAACATTATATGTTTTTTCTTTATTATTACAGGTTACTATGGAGGAAAAGAGCACTGCTGTTCTCCATGAAGCAGCATCGCAGCTTCCCCCGGAGACCCCGATCGAGGACGTCATAGTACCTGAGGATGCAGGTTTTCAGATCATGACTGATGTCCTGAATCAGAACTATGGTCATCGTCGTGGCAAGGTTGTTCGGGGTATGGGGAAAGCGCGGATTTGTGAGACAGGTGCTTCTTCTTCTAGATCGAACACAGCAGAGGTCGATGCATTGAAGGCGGAAGTGATGCAGCTGAGGACTGAGGGCGCGCATATGAAAGTTCAGCTGAGGGCCCAGGCCGAGGAGCTGAATACCTGTGTCGGGAGGGTGCAAGAACTTGTACAAGCCATACAGACGTCCGGCCTCCAAATCTCGCTACCAGTACCTCATCATGCTCCACCTTCGACCTCAGAGCCACCTTGCCTTGCCGATACCGAGTAGCTTGATATATTAAACCTAGGTCACTTGTAGTTTTTTTTTTTGTTCGGACATCTTGTATGTACATTTTCAGATATTTTATAATTAAATACTTTTGCTTGGTTAATTAATTATTCTTTATAATTTAATTACAATATTTATCAAAAAAAATTAAAAAAAAATTATTTTTCACTAATTTAAAAAAATTAAAAAAAAGGGTTTGCGCGACGTACGCGTAGGATGTGCGTCGCGCAAAGTATCTTTGCACAACGTAGGACACGCGTTGCGCAAAGGTACTTGCACGACGTACAATGTGCGTCGCGCAATCATACTTTGCACGACGTACAACGTAGACAGTGCGTCGCGCAAAGTACTTTGCACGACGTAGGTTGTGCGTCGCGCAAAGTACTTTGCGCGACGCAAGTTATTTTTCGTCGCGCAAACCCTAGCGTCACGGCCTTGGCGCGACTATTAGTGCGCGACGAAGTGTACGTCGCGCAAACCTTTGCGCAACGATATTTACTTTGCGCGACGAATATACGTACGTCGCGCAAAGTGTTTTTTTTACTAGTGTGACGTCATTACATGCAAAGCTTTACTTAATGCAAAGTTGATGCCATCCCACTAGCATTGTATTTGTATATCTTATTACTACTAACATTAACCTACAGCAACCGGCCATATTTGCACCACATATACTTATAGCATAGGAAGTAACTCATGGATTTACAAAAGATAGCACAAAATGTCTAAGTCGTTCACTGATTCGAACCCGGAATGCATGTGTAGAAACTCAACACGTTATCCATTAAGATATTGGACCACCTATAAAATGACAACTATTTAATTAAATTCCCTACAAATAATAATCACTATTACATGTTGACTGGTGAATGAAAGACCTACCAATTTATCATACAGTAAGAACACGCAGTATGTCAAAGAATTACAACCACACGCACGTACACAATTAGAGATGGATACCTTCGGTTGGTGTCTAAATTTCTATAACCGATCATCATTTTGGGAACAACGTCTAAAGAAAATATTCTCTTAACATGGGATGTTTATATTGATAGATTGTAATTATAAATCTTTGATCAAGTGCCAAATTTCCGTTTGACGATATAAACTTTTTATTAGTAACAGAAGTAAATCATTTATGTTATCATCAAACTGTCAACTTAAATCACTCATTTGGATGAGAATTCAACAATCACTAAGAAAACATATCATTACATCTGCCAATTCCTATCTAACAAGGCGGTAGCTATACCAATGATTCCCAAGACCTACTCAGAACCATGAATCTGGGCGTATATGTTTGCAGAGGATAAGTCAGCAATAATGAAACTTGCTAGCAAATAATAATGGAGAACATGGAAGATCCAGGTTCCACATATTTAACTGATTGAGGTTGTGTTATAAGTGCTTTCTCGTACCCCAATTATGCTTCACCAATATATTTCTTTACATGGGAATATTCTCAAAATAGATACTTTGCACTAAAGCATTATAAACAATTTGGGTCTCCACTAAGAAAGGAAAAAGGTGACGATTTTAGGTATTGATCTAGAAATAGAATGCTTCCAAATTGCGTCCCACAAACTTTGAGTGGATAAGGATTGTCTGTCCTCTCACTTCCGGTGTCCTCCCGTGCCCTCCTGTTTTATGTGGTCATGGTTAAACCACGTCAATATTTTATATTGTATTTTTATAGAGATAATAAGACAAAAATGAATAGTAATATAAAATGTTGATGTGGCTTAACCGTGACCACATAAACAGGAGGGCACGGAAGGGCACCAGAAGTGGAAGTGGGAGGGTAGACAATCCTTGTCCAACTTTGAGTGGTGCCATTTTTTAACTCAATCAGTAGGATTAATATAACAACTTGCGGGCATAATCATTTGCCAATTTTTTACTACATTGGAATGGAAATGACCACTGGATGACCTGTGTGTTGCTCTGTTGACGCTGGGAGCAATACTGTTTTTGAGTAAATTATAGGCGTTTCGATTAGGAAAACAGACAACTCAATGTGGTATATCGATTTTATTGACACGATCTTGGCTTTGTTGAGGTAGTTAATTAAGTTTGTGTTAAGTCTGAGTGTGATCCACTGAGTAAGACTTTTCTTAATTAAATTAATTGAAATCCTCATTTTGGTTCTAGAAATCTCCATAACCCGTATGATCCAAAAATTGAAAGTTTCGGATCATAAGATGACGTTGCAGAGTAGATCTAAATGAGTGGTTATTTTTGTATCAACTTACCGCTGATTAGCACTTGAGTTCTCATGTATGTAATAACGCCCAAGTGCGAAGTAGGTAGTAAGCGAATACGGCTGTCCACTCGATCGAGGCCGTTCCACAATTTATATTAATGATCTAAGTTATTCATTTTTCAAATCTTCAATTAAATTTTATTCTTGCAAAAATACACACAAATCAGATATTGTTTAGCCATTGGCTTGTTGTCGAGAACATTTAATGATAACCCAACATTATTTGTTTATTTATATCATCATTATTGGATAACCAAACACTTCCTTTTACGTGAATTTTTGCAAGGAAGTCGAGGTTAGAGATGTGTTAGCTTACTAACTGGTTGAAATTTGAGATTCTACCGTAAAATGAATTGGCAATATAGTCACTACCAGAAATTACCATTTGTCTGACGAAGTTTTGCCCAACGAAAGACAATTCGTCAGGCAATTGTCTTTCGTCTGGCAAATAGTCTTTACCCGACGTAAAACCTATGTTCATCGGGGTGAAAATGATTAACGCTTTGGTTTCTTCAGAAGCTTTTGTACGACAAACATAATTCGACGGGCAAAGCTACAATCGTGATGTAATTGTTTTGTGCCAAGGGAAAACCTTGGTGCCCAAAATGGCAATTAACGCGACGAACCATCCAAGTTTTGTCGCACAAATGTGCAAATTAGTGTTTACGGTTTTTATTTTATCGGGTCAAGTGGAAATATTTGTCGAGGTCAAGTGGAAATATTCGCTGGATAAAGTGAGAGACATGGTTGGCACATTTAATCTTTGAGGATTTTCACAATCTGCAAAAAAAAAAATTCAATAATCCAACTGTCAAACTTGTTTGTATATACTCCAAGATCGCATATGCCAAAAATCACCAAAAACAAACTTTTGAGGATTAGGTAACGGGACAAAATCCTTTGACGGTTAGAAACGAAGATTCATGATTTAACTGTCATTTTAGCTCCGATTTTGATAATTTTTTTTTTCAACTACACTCTTCGACCCTAGAAGAATACAATGAATGAACCTACTCACCAATTTAAAATATTTACACTAGTGAATACCACAAAAGCTTACATTATACTTAATGGACCTATAGAATAAACTCTAAGTGTTTGTTGAATCTATTATCTTGGTGGGATACGCATTCTACGAAACTAGTTTCAACGATCCAACCATGACACTTGTTTGTAGATACTCCGAGATTGCATACACCAAAAACCACCAAAAACAAACACTTGAATATTAGGTAAGGGGACGAAATCCTTCGACGGTTAAAAACGAAACAACCATTTTACACTAGTAAATGCCAGTCCTTGACCCTGGAAGAATACCATAAACTACAAGTGTTTTGTTGAATCTATTGTTTTGACAGGATACGCATTCTACAAAACTAGTTTCAACAATCCAACCATCAATTTTTTTTTTATATATACTTCGAGATTGAATACGCCAAAAATATCAAAAACAAATGTTTGAAGATTAGGTCATTTGGGACGAAATCCTTTGACGGTTAGAAATGATAAATTATGATATAACAATCATTGTAGATTATTTTTTACAACTACACGTATCGACCCTAGATGAATACAATGAACACACGATCATCAATTTAAAATATTTACAATAGTGTGTGTTGATGCACAAAATCAGTGAGGACTTTGGTACAACAGAAAGTGTTAAGTTTGTGACCTTCGCTAGATTGCTCCGGTCACAAGATGTACGTGGTTCACCCAGATTGGCTACGTCCACGGAGTAGAGGAGTTCTCATTAATTGTGAAGGGTTTACACAAGTACGTAGGTTCAAGCTCTCCTTTAGTGAGTACTAGTGAATGATTTAGTACAAAATGACAATAGGAAATATTGTGAGAGAATGATCTCTATTTATAGAAAAGAGTTTCTAGTTTCATTTTGACATTGACACGTGTCGTGTTGTGATTGGCTTCTGATGTTGACACGTGTCGCGCTATGATTGGCTTCTAATGTCGACATGTGTCGCGCTGTGATTGGCCTCCTGGTTGGAGGGAAACTCTTCTAGGTCCTTGATGGTATAATGTTGACCGATGCTCAGTAGTTTCGGGATTGGTCAAGTATGGTACAAACAGTGCTCCCTTAAGTTCCCGAGTGAGGGAAGTTCCTCGGTTGGGGACCTGCAAGATCCAAGTCATTGAGTAATCACGAAACTTCTAAGTACCGAAGTGTGGTATCATTTTCACTTGCCTTATCTGTCTCATATGTAGATGTGGCATCATCTCTGGAAGTACTTTTCCTTCATCCAGGGGTGGTATCTTTAACCGATGAAGATGCACAAGGTAATGTATCAATTTCACTTGAAGCTTACTTGTAGTTTCGGACTTGGTCAAGTGCGATACAAACCCTATAGTAAGAGTCCCCCAAGTCGCCGAGCTAGGAGATTTGCTGAAAGAGGTAACAGACAAGGTAAGCAATCAAAATTCCAAGGAAGCAACCTGAATTGGAGGTTCGACTTCGGCTTCCGGTTGATTGTTCTCATTCTCCATGTGTCGTAAACAGCAACAAGGATAAGGAGAAGCAAATGGAGAAGAGATGATATGAGATACCTTTACTTTTGAAGAAGTAACTTTCCACAGGCTTATTCTTGAACTGGGCTGGATGGTTTTCTAGTTTCCTCCAGAGTATAAGGCCGACTTAAGAATTTGAGGGTCAAAACAAGCTCATTCTATTACACTTGTCTCCACATGCTTCCTTATATCCTTCTCACTTGCCCTATCTGTTCCTCAGGCAGATGTGGTATCTTCTCTATAAGCATAAGATGTTGAAGATGAGTACTTTAGAACAATGCCAGATAAGTAATCAGGCAAGGGGTTCCAGGCAGTCAGTTC